GGTCCCTCCCAGGAGGGAGGGGAGATGCATGTCGAAAGTGGACTATGGACTGAACATGTTTGCCACTCAATGCCTCTTTTGCAGACCACAACACCCAAAAGGAGAGAGAGAACACAGGGGATTGCCCTGCCACAGAGGCAGGGGGGGATGGGGGGATGGGGGTGGGGGGGACATTATCCATGGTGGTGGAAAATGGGCACTGGTGGAGGGATAGGTATCTGATCATTGTATAATTGAAACCTAAGCACAAAAATTGTAAATCTACAACTGTACCTCATGGTGTTTCACTAATAAAAAAAAAGAAATACAGTCAAGAATATTGAATCTTTCACTGAACTTCCCAGAAATTCAGATTATTACCTTGAATAATTCAGATTTTATTATCGACCATTTAAGATTTTTATTTTTATTCACATTCACTTATTCATTTGCCTGTAATTAAATATGTGTTAAACATATAGGATGTATGCATTAAGCATGTAGGATTTATCTTATATCCTGTAGGATTGTGCCTTGATAGTATCCAGAGATACAATGGAAAACAAGAGAGATAATCTCTGAATGAAGAAAAGAGAAAATAAGCACAAAAGTGACCAATGACAACATATCAGACAATGGAGGTGATGAGGAGACAGTAAAGCACTACGTGGAATAGACGGTAGCTGTACGTGGTGTGTGTGTGTGTGTGTGTGTGTGTGTGTGTGTGTGTGTAAGAGAGAGAGAGAGAGAGAGAGAGAGAGAGAGAGTCTTTTCTGAGGGAAGTCACTCTGGCTGAAGAAACTCAGTATACAGTCAGAAGTAAAGTGGAATGGAGTTGAACTCATTTAAGAGAAAACTTTTATAGAAATAAGAAACAAAAAATGGTCAAACCTAAGAACTGTGGTTCTAATGGAGGGGAGGGAGACGCTCTCTATTGCCCCCCACCCAAATCCTGAATTTCCTATCCGTCCTGGATGGGATAACATATTGAATCTTATTGGGTTATCACCAGGCATGCATTTCCTCAACTTCCCTCCTTTGATCTCGCTTTGAAGTTACCATGTGAACCATATGAACTGGAGTTATTTAATAATTACATACATATGTCAATGGTGTCACTAGATTCCACATGGACAGACTTAAATCATTCATCATCCATCCATCCGAAACTACCAAAGGCATAGAAGACCCTGGGCTATGAGATGCCACAGACTATTCTCCCACTTCCAGCTGTAAATATCAATAATGGTAAGGAAGTATGTCAGCACCAATGTGTCTTAATTTTGGTGGTCACTAGGACCAAGGCTGATCATAAACCTGACCCCATTTGGTTGAAGAATGGTGATTAGCTGAAATGTGATTGGAGTCAAGAAGGGCTAGTATCCACACAGGCACAAAACCATTGCCTGTTATAAGCAGTCCCTGGGAACTTCTGTCCCTCATGAGTCAACAATGCCACATTGTCCGTGGTTATCAAACCACTGAAGCCTAAAGCAGAAGCATGGAGGGTGCTGAGCTCTCTGGAGGAGAAGGACATGGTTTGTCTTAGGTTTGAGACATTAGTTAGAATTGCCAATAGACTCCCATTTCTTCATCAGTTTCATTGGGATCCACAAAGCCAAGCAAGGTTCTGGTCCAGTCTAACCTCCTCACTGTAGATACAAGGCAACGTGAGGAGGTTAGACAATCACACAGTGAAGCTGGAGCGAGAGTACTGTGGGTAAGGGATGTGCCTTGCACCCAGTCAACGTGAGTTCAAATCGTCAACAGTCCACATGGTTTACTGATCCCTACAAGGAATGATTCCTGAGTGAGAGCCAGGTGTGCCCCCCTGAGAACTATCAGATGTAGCTCCAAAACAAAACAAACATTCCCACCCCTCTCCCACCAACAAAACCCCAACACAGAGTGGTGGAAGGCCACTGAAATCCCAACCCCATCTTGCTTTGTCCAACTAGGTGAACTGAGTTAAACTTATGGACTAGGCCTCAGTCTTCTGATGGGACAGAACTTGTCATTCTAAGTCTATGGTGAACAGTCTTCCAAAGTTGACCTGAAGGGATGACTTGGCTTCTAGCCAACTGTGGAGTGTGGACTACATCTTCCACTGTAAGGAAAGTGGTGGTGGTGGTGGTGGTGGTGGTGTGTGTGTGTGTGTGTGTGTGGTCCATATGAATGAGAGTATTTACATGTGTGTTTATGTGAGGGTATAGCATAAAAAAAATGAAGCGACCAAAAGCTTATCCAGAGCAATGGGCCAAGATGTATTTCCCAAGTGGCAGGGGATGAAAAATGTTCCTACTCAGTAGTTTGTGACTGAAGAAAGACCTATTTTGTGCCCTTCCCCAGTTGAAGCCCTCTGGAATCTTGGGTCTTGAATTGACTATGAGTTCCTGGGTCCATCTGCATCACATCATTACGTGCATTCACACACACACACAGACACACACACACACACACACACACACACACACACTTACAAATATCCCTACTTCCTGGGGCACCAAACAGTTCTTTTAGGAAAAGTGACTAACGCTCTAAATCTGGAATAGGAGTCCAATCTAATGGTATTGGTGTAAGAAAACAAATAAAAACAATTTACCTTTGTCTGGCCCAAGAACCTGTATTGAAACAAAATAGTCAAGTTTGATGTCTTAGTGATAGAGAATTTTATCTTTTCCAATGTGTGTCTGGAGCTATTGGGTTAGTAGAGTGGGAAAACTTTTTTCCCCACTGAGGGTGAAACTTTTGTCTCCGGGAGGGAAAGGGCATTTGTCTCTTCCGCCTCCCCCGCTCCCCCTGGCAGCATGGTGGCTGCTGCCTCAGAGCTTATTGGAAAGCCAGGTATGAGCCGGCAGTGATGGGGCAACTGCAGTTTCATAGGAAGGGGGGTGAAACCAGCTTGCCATTCAAGGCCACGACTTGCCCCCCACGAGCGGCTATCCGGCATGGACATGGCACCAGACGCATAGAAACCAATCTCGTAATTATCTGGCTCTTGGCAGAAATCCCTCCAGGCTTAATTAGTAAAATATCAGAAATCCAAAATTGCGCAGCCACAGTAGTGGTCACGCGACATCATATGGTTTTCATAACCAGCAATAGAAAACAAATTATTTCACAATGCCTTTTCAGCAGTTTCAATTGTTGGGGGAAAATTCCAAACAATAGTGTTGCATCTTTTGTTGAAATAATGAATGTAATCAGAGAGAGAGAGAGAGAGAGAGAGAGAGCTGAGTAGAAATCATCTGCCTCACAGGAGTGGGAGGGGTGGGAGGGGGATATATTGGGGTTCTTGGTGGTGAAAAATAATTACTGGTGAAGGGAGGGGAGTTCAATCATTGTATGACTGAGACTTAAACTTGAAAGCTATGTAACTTTTCTCATGGTGATTCAATAAATAAATTTTAAAAAAGCATAAGAAAAAAACCTTTTGTTCATACATATTTAAAAAAAATTACAAATAATTCCCAAAACATTAAGCATCCCCCACCACCCCGATTTTCTATTTTTAGTGTGATATAATAGGCAACGACACAGTCGGAGTTAAATCACTTTAGGTCTTTTGTATTTGGTTGGGTTGTTTTTCATGCCAAGATTTGAACCCAAAGCCTCATTTGCAAAGGATGTTCAGAAAATCTTACTGTAAAAAACAAACATGAAGATATTCACATTACTACGTTTAAATGTCCCGCTTGAGCAAATCTTCTGTGGCCTTAATGTAAGAATATAAGCAGAATAGTAAAAGAACCAAATCTTTTAGGAATAAAGTGGGGACCAGGTGAGGGGGCCCTTGTTTTTTTTTCTGTTTGTTTTGTTTTGATTTTGGTCACACCTGTTAATGCTCAGGACTTAATGGCTCTATGCTCAGGAATTACTCCTGGTGGTATTTGGGAAACCATATGGGGTGTTGGGGTTTGAACCTGGATTGACCACATGCAAGCCAAACACCCTCTCTGCCTCAGGTAGCACTTTTAAAAAAATTTTTTTAAATGAATTATCATGAGAGACACAGTTACAAAGTCGTTCATGATTGGGTTTCAGTCATACAATGTTCCAATATCCATCCTTCACTTCTGTACATTTCCTACCTTCAATGTTCCCAGTTTCCCTCCCGCCAACCTCTATGGAAGGCACTTCTTTTTCTTCTCTCTCTCTCTCTTCTCTCTCTCCATCCTCTCTTCTTTTGGGCACTCAGTACTTTTGCAATACAGGTACTGACTGAGAGGTGACCATCTTTGTCCCTTTACCTACTTTCAGCACTCAGTTCTTGTCCAGCATGATCATTCCCAACTATCATTGTCATAGCTGTCCTGTCTCTGTCCTAACTGACCTCCCCTCTCACCACTTGTGGCAAACTTCCAATTGTGGACCAGTCCTCCTGGCCCTTGCTTTGATCAAATACCACCCATGGGCCCTGGGTACCAACCAGCTTCCTTTTGGGGGATTTAAGAAAGTGATGAGCTTAGGGCCTCTGACTGTTTCATCTCCCCCAACTTTTGTGCCCTTTGTTGACACTTCCTGAACTGTGTCATACAGCTCTGCAAAGACGAGTAGCCCAGTCTCATGGCTGGGAAAGTCATGAGGGGAAGGGACACTTGCCCAAGTTCTCTAAAGTAGCAGTGACCAAGTAGGATTTAATCATGTAAGATTGACTCTGTCCCTCGGTTCTCCTCCTTTGCTGACTGTCTTTCTGGTGCAGAGGAGATAGCGAAGGCCATATACAACCCATTTTCTCCTCCGTGCCATGCTGGAGACTTTGCCTTCCTTGGAACTAGTCGTCTTCACAGCACCTGAATACAGTAGTTGTGATGGCACAACAGAACCCTGCCTTAAAACCTACATCTTATCTTGTTTTGCTCTCATGTTCTCAGCTTCAGACTAGGGATAATAATATATTTTGAGATATTACAATAATTAAGGGAGATAAAATATCTAAAGCAAGTCGGATCTTGCCCACTTCAGATACTCAATGCACAAAAACTCCCTTGTTTATTTTTTAGGACAAAATTGCTACTTACCTCACTTAAGTTCTTTAAGTTTATCTGACTGCAGGGAAAAGAAAAAAATGGTGTCAAGCATCATGTGTGTCCCAATGATGGAGCTAAAACTACTTAGAACACTTTGAAACCTTGGGGGACAGTGGGCAGCCAAATTAACTGCCCACAGTTTGGTGAGATATTTAGCACTGCTCTGAAAAAACGAAACAGGTTCCCCCCCCCCCATAATTTTCTAGCTAAAGAAGGGATGAGTCAGTATAAAAGATGCTGGCAGGGAGGAAGTAAATACACCTCTTCTCATCGGGGAGAACTGTTATAGCCTCACAATCCTCCTGACATTTGCTTTTTCCTTGCCAAGGCCACAGGCATCCACGGCTCTGGGGCTGCTTCCTTGACTTTTGAAAGCTGGGCATTCTGCTTGGGGCATGAAAAGAGTTTTAGATAATGAAGTGGTCAGGTTCAGTGGGGTTCCCAGAAGGTCATTTGAGAGAAAGGACACTGATTCAGTGTCATAACTGAAACCCCAGGTGGGGAAAGTTGTCCACCTGGAATGGCCATTTGGAGAGGCTCCCCAAAAAGGCCAAGTCAATGGGGCTTGCTAATGGGGTGAGGGAAGGGATGCATAAATAGGGAGGGGGTGATAAGGTGGGACCACCAGTGCTGGCTTGTGGGCATTCGCCTGAGGATGAGCCAGGTCCTTTGTGGGACAAGGAGTCCTCGAGCTGCCTAAGCTTCCTCATCTGGAATATGAGTACAAGGCATATGTCTTAGAGGGTCATTGTGAGATTTGATAGAGATAAGGAGGAACATAGGGGCATATTCTGGGGGTCCAAGGCAGCCGTTAAGATTAGAGAAACTCTCAAGGAAATGGAGTGCCAGGCCACGTACCCTCTGCCCTGTCTGTTGGTCCCAGACTGTGCTGAAAGGAATGCAGGGAAACTGAGGCAGCAGCGCCTCACTGCTGATCTACTTATACATCAGAGAAGATGACTGCAGTCATTTGTCCATCCAGGGCTCAGATACCAGTCCACAGGCTGGTTCTAGAGGGCCCGCAGAGTTCCAACAGCCTATAGGAGGCAAAATAGCCTACTAATGGGGCAAGGGGAGGGGTGGAGAGATGGGGAGGGGGAATAGGGTGGGACGCACAGTGCATTCATCTGAGGCTGAACTCGGGCTCTTCATGTGTAAGGGATTCTGGCACTTAGGAATAAGAAAGAGATTGCTGATACGACTTCAATGACGCAGGTTCGTTGATATGGAGTAAGTCTTCCTTCTCCCTTTAGGTGTGTGCTGGCAACCTGCGCTTTACTATAGCATGGCCCTTCTTTCATTTCCCGTTAGGCTCAGTTTCAGGCCAATTTGATTGGAATCCTTGCTTTCTCATCTGTGAGCTCCAGAAGCCCCCAGCAGTGAACCCCTTTGAAGGAGATTGCCCTCCCCACACACACTCCGTCATCAGTGGGCTCAATGACATTCTCCGAAAATAATAAGTGGGAAAACCATTTGGAATGAAATACCCTCGTCCACCCTCGGAACACTACTAAAGTCCCACTGGCTTCTGAATGAGCCTCTTTATTCTGACGTGTCCAGCGCCCTCATACAGCTATTAGCGATAATGCAGAGCAAACTGGGCACCCCTTATCCTGCTTCCCCCAAGGTCAAAGTCTTGCAAAACTATTGCAACAATCAAGCTGACTCTAAAAAACAAATATTTCCAGCCCTCAATGAGAATCCATCTTTCTTCTTAATTCCTGTCTTCTGAAGGACAACAGCACCCATGGCTGAGAGAGTGGGGGTTAAGGCGCAGCTCAACCCGGTTCCATCCTGGCACGCAGGGTCCTGGGGCACCTGGGTTCTTCCTGGTCCCAGGCAGCCCTGCAGCCTTAGGCTCTTGCATTGACTCACAGAACAGTTTGGCTGAAGTTACTGGGAGAACATGTTGGGCCCCATACGCACCTCTGCTGGTGTCACACTTCGGACCATCTCCCTTACCCCCAAACAGCGAGGACGAGGGCACTGTCCGGGCATTTCTAAAACTCCTTTTTGGGGAAGGAGGCACCGTCCAAGTCATCAACACAGATATTTTGTCTTGGTGGTTGCTTGAAATGATGGAATTCATTCCAGCAGGACGGCTGGGAGAGGGGCAGTTAGGCCAAGGGCAATTCGTCTGTTCGTCCGGTTCTTTCTGCAAGTCCCATTAGGGTTGAATTCTGTACCCGAGCTTTGAACCTTGGGTTTGCTGAGGTTTTGACAGGGGTGCGGGAGAGATTGGGGGATGATGATCAAGGCCCTCAGTGTGAAGGTGATGGAATGTGGAGAGGCTGGAAGAGGCTCCCAGGGATCCAGCGAATGGAGTGAGGGGTCAGAGGTGGGGGGTTACTTTGGGGATGAGTCAGAATGATTTTGTTCCATATCTGAGGCTTGTAGATAAAATTGCCATGGAGACGAGGGGGAAATGTTGTCCTTGAAGCAGAGAAGCTCAGGGGGAGACTGGAACACCTAATCTCCCAGGACCTCTTTAAGCAGAGAAGAAAGATTCCCCAGGGTTAAAAGTTTGAACTGAACTTGTAGCAGTTACTTGTAATGGCAAAAATTTTCTTTTAAAAATAAATGTACTTAAGAAAAATAGAATCTCTCGGGGTCCACCCCTTTCCCTTCCTGCCCCCATAAAAGGACAAGGCTGTTCTAACAATCCAGGGGGAATGAGAGTGGGGAGCGCCAGGACCCCTTCTCCCCCCATCTCTGAGTCCCAAGTCTGTGAATCACCTCAGGCATTTTCTGAACTAAAGGCTTCCAGGACCCAATTGTTCCAGGGCAGCCTCCAGACCCATGCCTGAAACCATAGGAGGACCCCCCACCCCCACCTCCTGCCCCCACTGGGAAGGCGGGGTCCCCTGGAGCGCCAGTCTTGCCACTTCCAGTAGATTGGGCCTCACCTGCCTGGACCTCACACTCCGACTGCCAAGCCCTGAGCTTTTCTTCACGATGCACCCTGCTACTCCCTCTTGCTCCCTCTCCCACAGTAACTTGGAAAGGGTTGGAGCAATTGTCCAACACTTTGGGAGTAAATTTGTCCTACAGGAGAATTACTCCTGGCGGTGCTTGGGGGACGACATGGAATGCTGGGAATCGGATTGGCTCTGTGCAAAGGGAAATGTCCTACCAGCTGTGCTATGGCTCCAGCCCCTCGCACTTTGCACTTCCTTCTTTATTTAGCATTTAAACTATTGTCCCCCCACACCTGGGAGTGCTCTAGGCTTACTCCTGCTCTGAGCGGGGATCACTCCTGGTGGTGCTCAGTGGAGGCCATCTGGGGAGCTGGGCATCAATTCATGTGGGCCCGGCAAGCACCCTGTCCTATCTCCAGCCCCCACTTCAGTATTAAGCAGCTGCATTTTTCTGCTAAGATGATGAAGCCTCAGATTTCTGAGACCAGGCTTCCGAGGAAACAGGGGCTTGGTGGCCCAGTAAGTGCAGAGGTGACAGGCCCGTCCTTGTCTCACCCTGCTCCTCCAGGCCACAGCTGTCTCTCACCTGGGCCCTCGGCGGCTTTCAGGAACAGCGTGTCTCAGAGGGAGGGGGGGCCCGCTGCTGTCCGGCTCCGGAGGAAGGGGATGGTACCTCTTGGAAAGGGTGACAGGTGGCCTGTGTGGACAGTCAAGAAGGGTCTGTACACGGGGGTTTCAGGGCCAGAATTCACTGGGCCTGGCTTCCGTCTATAGAGTGTGTATGGGAACCCTTTGTTGGGGCCCTCTCTCTCTCTCTCTCTCTCTCTCTCTCTCTCTCTCTCCGTCACACGCACATACACACACACACGCACGCACTGTAGGGAGCTTGGCACCTGCTTGAGGGTTAGGAGCCCCGGAACAAGGTACCAGCCTTGCATGCTCCAGATTCTCAGACTCCCCAGAGACATACAGCTAAGGCTTACACACATAAGACATACAGCTAAGGCTTACACACATAAAACATACACACATTCACTCACTCATTCACTCAGTCACCCATTCACTCACTCATGCATTCATTCACTCAGTTACTCATTCATTCATTCATTCATTCACTCATTCTCTCACTCATTCACTCAGTCACCCACTTGCTCACTCACTCAGCCATTGACCCATTTTCTCACTCACTTCCTCACTGTCTCGGGCATGACTGTAGGTGGCCGGAGCTGCTGAGAGAGAAACAAGACATCGCCCTTGGTGGCAGATGCTGCCCTGGAGGCAGGCAGAGAGGAGTGCCGAGATTACCAGTCACGGATGGGGTATTCAGTGCTCTGGTGCGGGGGCTCATGGGCCAAGAGGGACTACAGAAGTGACCAGTCACTCACCCAAGAGTCTAGTCTATTACTCTCACCTCCATGGATAAACCTAGAACATCTGTGTTCTGGGTGTACGATGTGAGCGGACCATGATTAGTCCCCTGCAGGTGCTGTCTGGTGCCAGGGCTATAAGCATAGGTCTGTTCTAAGGAGTGGGAGCAGGAAGGACGGGCATCACTGATGACTGGGAATAAACGGATGAAGAAGGGGATGAGCTAACACTTGTTTATCTTGCTCATCGTTTCACTCATTGATTTTTCAGCCTCAAACGTTTGTGTTTCTCTTCACTAAATTCTGGGCCCTTTCAGCCTATGTCATTTAAGTCTGTAGCAAAACAGAACATCACTTTAAGTGTCTTACCGAGGCGGTGGTAGAGGAGTCCTTTCCTGCAAAAGGCAAAGCAATCAGGACTTAAATTTTGTATTCATTGCTAATGGCTACCGAGGTTTGGGTTTGCAAATAGGAATTACAAATCCTGACTCAACTTCTAGGATTTATGTTTCAAGTAACATCCAAGCCTTTATGCAAACCACAGTCCTCAGCTGTAAAATTAGAGTGGTGACAGATGCATTTTTAATAGTTTCTCTTACCTTGATTCCTCTCATGGGTTTGTTTCCTAAAATATAAGGGAATAGCAGTAAGTTTCTGGGAAATGTTTACATGTTTCAAGCTATGTTTACATGTATGTATATAGAAACCATTCCAATAAATTATATTTTCTGTTTGGTTTTTTAGACCACACCGAGGTTTGGGGCCTACTCTTAGGTTGGTGCTAGGGGGCCCAGGCAGTGCCAGAGACTGACTCTAGGGCACCTTTGAGCTGCCTCCCAGCTTCATGCTGGAATAATTAATTTTTTAAAATTTTATTGAATCACCATATGACAGGGCATTACAAATCTGTTCATGAATAGGTTTCAGTCATACAATGTTCCAATACCCATCCCTCACCAGTGTATAATTTCCCAGCACCAGAGTCCCTAGTTTCCCTCCCACCTCCCCAAACCACCCCTTCTCCCCTGCCTGCCTGCCTCTATGGCAGGCATCTCTCTCTCTCTCTCTCTCTCTCTCTCTCTCTCTGTCTCTTTCATTCTAGGTGTCATGGTTGCAATACAGATGCTGAAAGGTTATCATATATGCCCCTTCATGTTGGAATCATTTTGATGATGATGTGAACCCTGGTTGAAATTTTATCAGGTACCCAGCCCCAGGGCAATACTCTTACACTCTCATACAGCAATTCCTCACTTACCACCTAGCCCATCTCCCACCAGTTCTCGAAAATTTAGAATCACCCGTCCCAAAGGCATGTCCTTCACTGAGTCCCTTTTGTTCAGGGGCCAAGCTGTATATTATGATCATGTCACAACAGCACAGTGTCAAATGATGTGATGTTCTCTGAGGCCCTGCTGTCCAACTGAGCCTCAAGTGATGTGGGGGTGAAGAATGCTGATACCCCAGCTCAAAAACCTACACGTGACTTATAGTGGGCTCTTTTACTTTCTTGTTAAAAAAAAGAAATTGGGAGTCACCCAGAGATGCTCATGGGCTAATTCCTGGCTCTGTACTCAGGAGTGACCCTTGGTGGTGCTTGAGGACCAAATGTGCTGGTGCTGGGGCTGTCACAGGGATGGGCCTCCAGCAAGCACCCTCCCTACTGTACTTGCCCACCAGCCTTACACTGGGCTCTTGTCATACGTGGACCCAGGGATCCAACCCACTGACATCCACAGCAGCGTGAGTGTGTGATTGCAGAACTGAGAGAAAGCCAACATACAAATGGATCCTTGGGGGGTCACAGCGTGCTCAAGTTCCAACAATAATTTTATTCCCATAGTTCAGTTCATCTCAGTTGTAAAGTTGCTGCCTCAGCTGACCATTACAGACATCTGGCTGCGGGTGGGGTGTGTGAGGGGGAAGACTAGAAACAACAAGGAGGGTGAACAGGGCCCCCAAGAGGCTCATAATTGTTCTAGTCATAGGCCAAGTTCTTACAACACAACACCACAACACACTGTACAACAGCAAAATTAAATATGTTACCACACAACACTACTGACAATGTACTACACCACCACTACACAACACTACAGACAATGTACCATACCATCACCACACAAAGCCAGCTCAGAACAGTATCTCTCAACAGCTTGCTACGGTTCATCACAACATCACTTAGTACACACTAGTCTGGATGATTTTAAGGACTCTTAACGGGTCTAAAATCACTGCTTCATGGAGTAAAAATCACCATTCTCCCTATTCTGATTTTGTTTTTTGGAAAAGGCCTTTCAAATGGACAGGCTAGATTTCTGCTCATGACGATATACTACAGTGACAGATGTCACCAGCACTTTATAAGCATAGAACGTAACCCGGAAGTATTTCCCCAAACGTGACCTGGATGGACTTCCCCAAGAACAAAGATCAACTGTGATAGCTCTACGGCATTCATACCCTGACTAACAAGCAAGACCACTTGTGCATCAGGTACCATGGCAGGTAGAAACCATCCTACCCATTCACCCTATCCTGTGTGCTCTTCACCTCAGAGCTCGGCCACATGCTCTCTTGCTGTTCACTTCCACAGATTTCTCTATGAAGTCACAGGGGAGCTTTCAAAGGCTCCTCTTCTGCCTACTATGTTCTCTCTTGGCATCCACTCAATCCACCGGGAAAAATTCAACAGAAGTTGCACCTCGAGTTCAGCAGGAACAAGCCACGGGTTGTTTGGAAGGTGTCGCCCTGATCCCTTTTACCCAGCTGCCTGTGATTCAGGGCAGGCCGTCGTCTTGCTTTTATTCCTGGGCTGAAGGGGGCTGAGCGTGGGTGTGTGAGGTATGGATTCACCCGAAGGCATTCATTGATGTACACATTGGGAAGTAGAATGTCCCAAGAGAGGTCGCTGTTCCCTCATAGCTCTCATTCTGGGGGCAGGACCCAGAGAGCAAATGGACAGAAGTGTTTGGTGAGAAGTACTGATAGGACAGGGAGGAAAATCCAGCAGACAAAGGGACTCCGCATGAGGGATGGGGTTGGCCTGACCCTTTAACAAAGTAGTTCCAGCCTGGAAAGCTGGCAAGCCTCCCTGGTTAGGTGATGGGTCACCTCTGGAGAGAAGAGCATGGATGTGACTGACCAGGAAATGACAGACACAGCACCTTCAAAGGTCCCGGGATAGGAAAACTACAAGGAGGAGGTAGAGCCTAAGTGCCAGAGGTGGGGGTGTGGAGTTCCCAGGGCATGGGGTTTGGGGGGACTGGCAGGCAGTGGTGACAACTTTACCAGTCCCCACTGTATGATTTACTATCCAGGTGTCTCTGTGTCCCTTGCAAGATTTTCTCTGGCATCATTCAATATTCTCCTTTCACTTAAAAATGCTGTGCAGAGAGGCTGGAGAGATAGTACCGAGGGTAGATTGGCCTTGCATGTGGCCGATCTGGGTTCGATCGCTGGCACGCCAGATGGTCCTCTAAGCCCGCCAGGAGTGATCCCTGAGTTCAGAGCTAGAAGTCCTGAGCACTGCTAGATGTAGTTTTCAAATGAAACAAACCAAAAATGCAGTGCAGAATAATGTCGGCAGCGGCCACAGAGGGCAGAGTATGCATGAGAATGGTCATTCCTGCGAAACCCCAAACAGGGTGGAGAATCCCGGAGACTCTGAGGGAAACTATGGCTCGAGGAACTTGTCACCTATTGGACAGTTGAGGGAAGTTCTGACGAAATCCAGCTGCCTTCTTGAAGGGTGGAGGCCTTTCAATGAAGCAAAGACCTGCAGATATGCAGGTATAATGGAGGAGGAGGAGGTTTGGAACTGAGTTTTTTGGTTTTCCTTCCTTCCTTCCTTCCTTCCTTCCTTCCTTCCTTCCTTCCTTCCTTCCTTCCTTCCTTCCTTCCTCCCTCCCTCCCTCCCTTCCTTCCTCCCTTTCTTCCTTTCTCCTGGATCTGTGCTCAGGGGCTTGGGGTCTATATGTGGTGATGAAAATTTAAAACCAGGATCAGCCACCTGCCAAGTGCCAGTTTCTTGATTTTAAATCTTGATTTTGCTAGTTATTACAGACAAGAACATACGTAGCACCTACGAAATAAACAGTTATGAAATAACCCACCCCACCCCCACCCCCGTCCTGAGGCCTGGCCGAGTTCTCTCCATCGTGGTAAGGGATCGTGAAGCGGAGACAATGTCCTTCTCTGCAGCGCTGTGGGATGCTGAAGGGATGTACCTGCAGGCGCGGGGTTTTTAATGCAAGTCCCTGCCACTGTATTGCAAAATGGGAGTCAGAGGGGGCAAGTCTCCTCCTCTTCCTGACTAACCGTGAAGCCCACGGCTATCACCGATCGGTGAAGAATTCCCTCCCACACAAGGGAACCACACCTTTCTCCTTGTCATCTTGAAATTCAGTGAAGCCGTTTTCACCGTGGGCCGGGACGCGCTCGCCACCTGGTGGCCGTCGGGGCGCTGGACACGTCTGCCCAGAGCATCCTCATAGCCCTTCATCCCCAGAGCCCGCAGGTGGGTTTCAGCGATGAGCAGAGCACGGCTTTGGGGTCTAAGGAACCTGGGCCAGATGCTGATCCCTGCTGACCCCACATTCATTTGAGGGTGGGCCGGGAAGCGCCCAGACTCTCAATGTTTCTGTGGTCCTGGCAAAACTCTCTCAGCAAAACAAGTACCATCTTTGAGCTCCGACTTAATGTAGGAGCAGCTGGCCCCAGTTTATGAGAATTGGTTGCTGACTTTTCCAAGATTTTTTCATTTCATTTCATCATCCTGTTATTCGTCGATTGCCTTGAGCAGGCCCCAGTAACGTCTCTTTCATCCTAGCCCTGAGATTATATTCAAGGCTCTTTAGGAGAATGAGACCCATCTTTGTTACTGGTATTTGGCATATTTGGTACACCACGGGGAGTTTGCCAGACTCTGCCCTGTGGGCAGGCTACATTCGATAGCCTGCAAGTTTGTCCAAAGTAGGAATGAGATAATAAGATGTCTTTAAAAAGATGTCCTGATAAGATGTCGCGCGGCCGCTAATGCCGCCGATCTGGGTGGTGGATCTGGGTGGAGGATGCTTGACTCCAATCCGAGTAGGCTGGGAGATCTCGGCCCCGGAACCCGCGTGGATTTGTCCCTCTGCCAGTACCTTCATGTGTGCGGAGAGTTGTCTCAGCATGGTGGTGGCTGGTCCTGGAGGTCTTCGGCTGCCGGAGCCCTGGTTGGGGCAGGGAGGAAAGCTCAACCCGCTCCCCTCCAAGGGGTCCCGGGGAGGAACAGCCAGGTGCGGGGGCAGGAGACTGCACTGTTCTCGTCCGGGAGCTGGATTTTATAGTCTCTGAGTCTTGGCCGTTGATGGGATTACACGGCGCCAGGGGGCCAGGTGGTGGGTGTGAC